TATATATATATACATATACATATATATATATATATATACACACATACACTGCAACTATATATGACAATAATGCATCACAACAGATTAAATGGAAAAATTATATATTCATCTCAAGATAGAAAAAGCATGATAAAACCCAACATACACTGAAGATAAACACTTAGCAAAGGAATAATGGAGAGTTAATTTCTTAGACATTACCAGTAAGAAGCATATGGGAAATATCAGAATTATGAAAGCTTAGAAATTTTCCCTTTGGGAAAACACTGGGAATAGAAAAAGTATCCCATATGACTGTCCATAAAGTCCAACTAATCTACAAATAAAGTATTACAAATAATAGTTGCATTTAGTATGACTGCTTGATACAAGGTCAATATATAAAAATCATCTGCATTTCTGTGCCAGAGGCAAAGAAAACAAAATATCCAATACCAGTTACAAGAATATTTTTAAAATCCATATCTAGGAATAAATCTAAAGTATGTAAGACCTCTACACAGAAAACCCTAAGAGTTAACATAGCTGTATCAGACCTAAAAAAAAATAGGAATAGGGCTGAGTTGAGTATGTTAAATATACTGAATGAATGAATCCCACAAAGATACTAATTCTCCCCAAACTCATCTACAAATTCAATAAAATGGCAGTTGAAATCATAACAGGTTTTTGTAACAATTAACAAACTAGCTTTAAACTGACAACTGAGAAATTCAAAGAAACAAGCATAGCCATAACATGATTTAAGAATAAGGTGGAAAGACTTGATCTACTGAATACCAAGTTTTATTACAAAGCTACAGTAATTAAGGCACAAGGATACACAAGCAAATCAATGGGCACAAACAGTCCCAGGAACAAATCATATCAAAGAATATTTAATGGGGGCGCCTGGGTGGCTCAGTCAGTTAAGCGCTCAGGTCATGATCTCATGGTTTGTGAGGTTTGTGAGTTCAAACCCTGCATTGAGCTCTGCGCTGTCAGTGCCTGCCTGGGATTCTCTAAGAACATTATATTTATGCCAAAGATGGCACTGCAAAGCAGTGGGGAATGAATCGTCTCTTTAATAAATCATGCTGGACTAATATGGTATTCTATGGAGGGAAAAAACGAAACAGGACCCCTGTTTCCCTTTATACCCAGAACTGAATTCTAGGCAGATTGGAGATCTAAATAAAAAGGGGAAAACAAAAAATCTCCTAAGACAGAATGGCCTCGTGATATCAGGGTAACTTCTTAAACAGGACACAAAAATATTAATCATAAATGAAAAAAAAATGTTATATTAGATTCCACTGAAATGGAGAGTGCTGAATTTCAAAGATAGGCATGAAAGGCAAATAAATATTTACAATACATATAACAGAGGGCTCATATTAAGGTCACAGATCAACCCTTACAAGTCATGTTTTTAAAGACAACCTAATAGATACACAAGTTGGACGGGCACTTCACAAAAGAACATATAAATATGAGCAATAAACATACAAAAAAGTGTTGAACCTTAATGGAAACTGGGGAATGTAAATTAAACATAAGAGAGCCTACTATACACAAACCAAGATGGCTAAAGTGAAAAAGATGGAAAATATTCAGGGTTGGCCAGCATATCTCACCGGTGGTGTATGGGAGTTCTTGCCCCATATCCTAGCCAATGCAGCATTTTCCATCTTTTCCACATTAGCCATTTTGAGGGATCCGTATTAGTCACTCACTTAGGAAAACATGACAACATCTGCTAAAGCTGAAGATAAACGTATGCAGAAATCCCACTTTTAGTTATAGACACAACAGAAGTACTCACAAGGTACATTAAGATCCAAATGCAAGAATGTTCATGGGATTATTTATGAAAAACAAAAACTGGAAACAATTCAAATGTTTATTGATAGGAAAATGGAGAAACTGTGGTCTATTCATTCAACAGAATACACTACTCCAATAAAAATGAACAATGAAAATGAATAAACTTTAGTCAAATGCAACATCATCGATAAATCTCACAAAAGAAGCCAAATACAAAACGATACATAACTCCACGCCTGACTGAATTTATATAAAATTCAAAACACAGACAAAATTAAATAGTGTTTAGGGATTTAAACTTAGATGGGTATAACTATAAAGGAAAGAAAAGAAGGAATTTCCCAGAAGTCAAGATAGTAGTGACCTTTGGAAGGGGGCATACGATTGGGAGGGAACATACCAGCAACTTCTGGAGCACTGGCAAAGTTCGATTTCTTGTCCAACGCCATAGTTACAAGAGTGTTCGGCATGTAAAAGGACTCACTGAGCTAGATATTTCTGTTCTGTGCACTTTTCTGTACATATATTTCACACATACACAAGTATAAAGTTGTCCAACCAAAACTTTTCTGTAACACACAGTTATAATAGTTTATATCAAGTTTAATCAGAGGAAGGGCAACAAGAGGGGTGAATATGTAGGGTTGGAATAAAGGATGGGAGGGAGTTGAGAATGTGGGAGCTTTTCTTCCATAATGGCAAGCCAATTTAAACTGAAAAGCAGGCATATATTTAAAGACAGTAAATACTAAATAATAAGCTAAGAGAGAAAAAAGTACTTGTCCTAGGGAAGAGAAAAATTGTAGATAAAAAGTTGGAGGCCTATTGTTTATCTAACAAATCTTGTAGAACTATTCACGGACTCTTTAAACCCGAAAAAACAAAACAAAAACAAAACCTATGGAAAAAAGAAGACCCCGAAAGTCAGCATTTACCAGCAGAACCTTCAGCATCCCATCTCCTGCTCACTTCTTCACTTCTATCACATTCTGAGAGCCAGCATTAACGCTCGGCCTGAAGGGAAACTCTCAGCAGACCTGACCCCCAACTCTGGTTGCCTCATTTGCTACTCTTAAAATGAATATAAAAGGTAATAATGGAAAAGAAACGCAACATTCACTTCCACCTCCTACTGAAAAAGAAAGCTATGGACAAAAGTTAAAGTATATAATAATGTAAACAAAAAGAAAGGATTTCCACTTGTGGATTACAAGGCATGAGCCGCTGGTAAAGAGCAGAAGAGCTACAGTATGAAAATGTGAATTTCAACATTTCTAAATGTAGTTTAAAAATAGGTATCACTTTTAAACTCAGCACACACAATTAACACACTAGTGTTGTCAAGTTAAGGTGCCCCTAATGCATAAAAATTAGGTCAAAGACAGTACAATAAAATTATGTGAAATATGCTCATTTATCAATTTCTAAATAAACCTGATTTATTTTTAACTGACATCTTAATTATCCACACTTACATCTGGAATATAACAACTTTTCTCCCTTTTAACAATGTGAGACAAACAAAATGTTATGATTACACATTAGCTATGCCTCCTGAGTTCCTACAGCTGAAATGTCAGGTCAATTACTTAATAAGATTTAATTTTACCTTGTTTAATCTGTCCTTGCACAATATTACTGGAAGTTGGAGGGGAACCCCTTGCCTTAGAAAGGTCTGGGGTGCTTGGTCGAGGTGGCCTTTAAAAAGAAGAAGAAAATATATATATACTTTCATATTTTCATAAATCTGAAACCATTTAAAATATTAAACTTCCTAGTCCCAAATGAATTGCAAAACACATACAGAACATTTTCAATTTACTTTTGAAAAACCAATGGTTTTTCCTGCGTCGTACCTATTAACATTTTCCTTTTCAAATTTCAATATATTAAATGATTAGCAAATATCAAGTAAAAGTCTGACAACTACAATCTGTGCTTTATGCTAGTTTAAGGAATATTTATGAATAGCTTAATGTGCTACCACTGACAAATAAATATCGTAATTAGTCCTTCACTCTTCAATATTAGCATGCTGAGATTTCAGCCCTTCCTCTATCACTGGTCAAACGAATTCATGGAACAATACTTTGAGTTTAGAAGAATTCATCCTTAAAATCTGAAAAAGGAAGTAAGGCATGAGAAATCTTGGACTCCAGAGGCCATGTGTCTCATTTTGAATTCTAGCTCTACCACTTAACTACTTGTGTGACCTTGGACACATTACTTGACCTGAGTCTCAGTTTTCTTATCTGCAGTAAAAGGATAATAAAAGTACCTACCTTACAGGGTTAAGAGCATTAATGAGATAGTGTCTATAAAGTACTTGCAACAGAACCAGTTACAAGGTAAGTACTACTTAAGGATTTGATTTTTTAAAATTTCTCAATATTATCAACTCTCAATAAAGTATAATAAAACCAGTTTCAAAAGCTATCTTCATGATTTCTGGAAAGTAGGTAATAGCAAATCAGGTTAGGCATTCCTGAAATACTAAAATAATACTCTCCTACAATTAAAAGCTGTTTTCTCTTTTCCAATTGAAAAATTCTGACTATACTTCTCACAAAATTCTGAAGCCAATTACCGAACACCTATCTTTCATATGTCACAAAGAGAAGAAGCATTTCAATCAAATACACATTTTGAATTAAATATCAATGCAAGCTCTAGGTAGCTACAACCTCAAGATTATATTCACCAAAGACCTAGTCTATAATTCATTTATTAAAGCTGAACTGATACCTACTCCCTTGTTCCAAAATTGTTTTGGAATAGCTACATTGTTTCTGAGTGAAGGTTAAACTGTGCGATTTTGTCATGCTTTAAATCATGCGTATTGTGTTTTAAAATTTAAAAGGGAAACACTGAGATAATACAATAATGTTAAGGTGGGCAGAGCCAAAAAAATAAAAAACAGCGAGAAAAATAAAACAGGGTTTTTGTTTTGTTCGTTTTTTTGAAATGTGATAATAAAATCAGACTATCATGGTCACACCTGGTAGGACCCTTCTTCATATGATCACCAATAAACGTTGCGTTGGTCATACTCATTAACGTATTTGCCAAAGATATGATAGACAGTAGATGCTGGGTGGTGACGGCTCGGGACACTCCGTAAGTTCCCTTTCCTGCGCCCTCGGCTGCTGGCAGCTTCCTTCCTACTTCCGCTTTCCCGTGTGATAGTTTACGAGCAGGCTGATTATAACCAGGAAGCATCAATGACATATGACCTCCTCGAGACAGGAGACCAAAAGATACTGTGCAATGGGGTTTCAGCATTCCAAGGCGATCAAGACAAACTTCATCCAGAACTTCATTTAAACCCCAGGCGTGAAGACAGGACATGAACAATTTTGCAGTGTCCATTGTTAAATTATATTCTAATAGGGTCAATGGCTTAGATTTGCTGGCCCGGTATTCTGGATCGCTTTCTTCCCTCCTCTGCCTCATTATCTCCTCATCCTCCTCTTCATCATCAAGGAGATGTTCCTTTATGTTCTCTTTGATGGTTTCTTTCACTTGTTGGAAGAGAACCGCTGCTCGTTTTCCAGTTAGAAAAGAGCCCCCTTTGTCTGAACTGCCAGATGCTTTTTGCAAATTCTCTGGGGAAATAAGCGCGGTATTCGGCCTAGAGGCTTCTTCAGTCAAGAGTTGAATAATCAACGCTTCCACATCAAAGAAAAGCACATGTATGTCCGGATCTGTTAGGTTTGTCTTTATTGCTTGAACCATCAGGGAGTTATGGGAATATTTAGGTAAATTCCCCTGCAATAAACATTTTAAAAAAATGGTTATAATATAAAACGTTTAATTTCATACATCCATTAATGAATAATAAATAGTGGAATCTGAATGCTTATCAAGCTGTCTTTTTAGGTACGTCTATCATTAAAAGCAACACACGAACTTTGCCAATCGGCAGTATGTAAAAGATATGAATTTATATGAGAACTTTATGCTGAAATAATTAGAAAACTGTCCATTTTTAAAACAAGAAAATTTTGTTATTAAGCAGGGAGTTTTTTTACTCAAAGAACAGACTAAAAATAGTTTCAATAACTTCTGTGCAAAGTCTGTCTCTGGGAATGAACTACTGGTCTACCTGACAGAAGAGGCCACTTGTCACTCATGGCAACTCATCCCTTTAAGTTGCTGTACCATCAAATTCCACCTTCTTCTACTTTACCTTCACTCTCTCCCTGTTCACAGATTCTTTTCCCTCAACAGACAACGGGCTCAAGTCTACCCAGACTCTAACAAAAAGTGCTATCCTTTGACCATGCCCCTCTCTTCTACTGATGTCTCTCCCCCCTACAGCCCCTATTTCCAAATACATGGAAAGGAGCAGGGTAATCCAAGGCAACTCTCAGTCCCACTCCTCCTCGAGCTCTTTGGAGTATCTGACATTGTTATTTTTGCTGGGTGAGTGACAAAGCATAAATCACAAAAATAAAAAGCTCTCCCAGCTTCCTGGAGAACACCTTCCCGGTGAGCCTTCTAATTCTGACCACCCTTCTCAGTCAGCTGCCTTGAAAACTCACCCTTCCTTCCACTTTAGGACTAACACTTGTATGCGGATGGCTCCCTAATTTCTATCAGCAGCCAGACCAGCCTCCTGGAGTTTTAATCCTCTAATCACACTGCTTGTATCTAGATGTTCCATAGCACCTCATCTTAATATGTGATGACCAGCCTGCCACTGCAGTACCAGACCATCAGTGGAGAATCATTCCCCTTCCATTGTGTCCCCACATCCAGACCCTTATTTTCTCCTCTCAGCAGGGTTCACTGCCCCTAGTCTCTCCTTATTCCAGTCCACCTCCCTGGAGGCACAAGACTTCTTTCTGATGCACAGATCCAATCACATCACTCTTCAGTCAAAAAGCTGCCACTATTATGGATTATGAAGAGAAATGGAAAATACAGATTAAAAACTAACTCAAAATACAGATGAATAGATTTGATCTCAAGATGAGAGAGGGCTTTCTAAACATACTTAAACTTAAAATTCACTACTGTAAAAGCAAGAGGCAAGAAACAGGAAAATGTGCCAAAAATAAGACTGATAGAGTTACATTCTATACAAATATTTCTTAAAATCAGCAAGAAAAATACTAATGCCCAAATAAAAGGGGAATACCGTAAAGATCAAGGACACCTCCCAGTAAAAGAAACAAAGAATCAATAAATATAGGGAAAAACCAGCTCAAACTAGTTGTCAGGGAAATAACCGTTAAAATTCAGCAAGTGGTGCTGGGAAAACTGGACAGCGACACGCAGAAGAATGAACCTGGACCACTTTCTTACACCAGACACAAAAAGAAACTCAAAATGGATATAAGATACCATTTATAAAATCAGCACACAGTAAACACTAAGAACTACTTAACTTAGCTACGAGTATAGTGAAAGTCAAACCCACATACTGCAGGCATGAATTTAAACAGGAAACTTCTAGAAGAGCAATGTGGCAAAATACACTGCAAGCCCTTAGACTGTTTGATCCAGTGCAGTTATTTCTAGAACCTGATCTTACATAGTCAGAAATACAGACAAGGATTGATGTACAAAGATGCTCAGTGAAATGGTAGCCATTATTTTAAATTGAAACCTAAGTAATCTAACAATAAGGAAACAGGTAAATAATTTAAGGGTAGCCATATAACAGAATAAATACTGCAATCACTACAAATCATGCTTTCTGGGCACATTTAACCACATGACAAAATTTCCTGTTCCAATTTTAAGTGAGATAAAATTATACACACACATACACACACACACAGTATGGTTCTGATTTCATTTTTTTTAATTTATTTATTTTCAGAGACACATGAATGAGAAAGGGACAGAGGGAGAGACACAGAGAATCTCAAGCAGACTCCAGGCTCAGCACGGAACCTGACAGGGGGCTCAATACTACCACCCTGGGATCGTGACCTGAGCTGAAATCAAGAGTCAGACGCTCCAACGACTGAGCCACCCAGGCACCCCTGATTTCATTTCTTTAAATGCTTAAATATGTATTTGAGCATGGTGAAAAACACTGGGAAGAAATACATGAAAGTGTTAGTAATAACATTTTGTGATGGAATTACAGAATATCTTTTCTTTACATTTCTCTGTATTTGTTACAAGGTATATAGCCAATATATAGGATGTTCATAATTAGAAAATAAAACTCTAGGAGGAAATACAAAATCTTTCAGCACAATATTCAAGGCCCATTACAGTTTGACACTGAGTACTTTTCCAGCTTTGACAAATCAGCTCCAGCACCATAACCACGGTCCCTCCCCCATTATTCCCATTATTCCTTTTATTTATTCCTTTACCCAAAATATTCTTCTTTGTTCTATTCTAACCCCTGTTCTTCCACCAAGCCCCGAATTCTCCCAAGGAAAGTTACTTCGCAATGAATTCAGTTCCCATGACACTTTATATCTACTATACGTCATTAATGTGTACGTCTTGGCTATATTGCTGTAATTATTTTATATATTTACACTTTCCTGTATTCTATGGGAACTATGTTTTACTCATCTTATGTAACCTGATCAGAGTACCTAGCAGAATGAACAAAGAACATTATAAAAAGTTGACAAAATTATTTTAAATTGTTAATCTACTCTTCTATCATAAAATTGTAACAAATCCCCTTTAACTGGTCTCTCTTCTTTCTCCATCCTTCTCCCATCTATGTTTCTTTCTAGCTGAAGGGGCTTCGATAGAGTTTTATAACCCAAGGATACAATCTTTGCAAAGCAAAAACTTCTCTGCAAAGCATAAAGTGTCCTCCAAAATATACTACTGCTCCTCCAATGTCATCTCTAACCACAACCCCTGTATCTTTTACCACAACCCAATTAAACCACTTGAACCTTCCAGAACCATGCACTTTCGAGCGTTTGTACCTCTGCACCGTTCATGCCAGGATGATGCTCTTTTCTCATTCTCCTCACAGCCCCTCAAGTCCTACTTTAGCCATCCTTCAAGCAGCATTTCCCAGATGCTAACTAGAACTACTGTGGTGATCATTTCACAATATATACAAATATCGAATCATCACATTGTAAACCTGAAACTAATGTATGTCAATTATACCTCCATTAAAAAAAAATCTCAAAAAGTCTCAAGTGGCTGCTCTTCCAAAAATTATTTCCATAGTCATTACTAATTCTGCCTCCTTTGTTTAAACCTCTGTTCTGAACTGAATAATGTTCAAAGGAAGGTAGAAAATAAACATTATTTCTACATTGCACCCTAAGAACCTACAGAGCATAAGTAATATAAATTTATATTATACAAAAGATGAATTTAAAAAATCAAGACTGTCTCAGTTTCAATCCTGTATTTAATTCACTCATTATGCATTTGCCTATGTTTGTGCAAGACCCTGGACATACAAAAACGAATGAGATGATTTTGTAGTGATGAAACTCACACCTCACAGTTAGACCATGGCATGTAAAGCCGCTATGACAACGTAGTAAGAATGGTGCCATAAAGAAAGGGGACTGCAAGGTACGAAAAGGGACAACAGAGGAAGTACCAACTCTACCTGGGGTGCCCAGAGACAGCCTCTCTGAAGGGGTGACTTGAGCTACATGAAAGAACAGAAAGATGGCAAAATGTGACAAAGGGCCAAGGCAGGGCACATCACAGGATGGATACTGATGAAGTCCCAGATGACCAAGCATGAAGAAGGCACAGGATGGTTCACTTAGAGCTCAGAGGCCCACACTGAGGCTGCCGAACTTTGTCTTGCAGGCTCGGGAGTCATTAGAGCAGTGCTTTTCTCAGAATCATCACGGTTGCTTATTGAAATGCAGGTTCCTAGGACTGCTACCAGGCCTACTGAATTAGTATGAATAGACCAGAATGGATCGGAACCTGCCTAATGAGAACCCCAGACAACTTGATGCAGTATAGTTTGAGAACTATCATCTAAAGCCCTTAAAAGAGTAGAATAACATGACCAAATTTAATTTTATAAATGTTCATCCACCAGCAATGTTGGCTAAAAAGAAGCAAGACCGGAGTCATGAATATGAACTGGGAGGAAGCAGAAGCCAAGCAGATGAGGGAACATAAAAGTATGCAACAATACCGAGAATGCAGCAGGTGGGATGGGTTGAAGAATGTGCACATTACCCTCTTACTCCTAACGCCGCTGTACCTGGTATTTGTTTTTCAAACGCTGAGTGTCATGTCAAACACGACGCTTAATGCTTTGTACCTACTGACATTAATTTGAATGATGCATAAAGTTATTTATAATACATTATACCTGATATATTATTGATAGGAAAATTATTATTAATATTGATAGCTACCATATACTAAGTTGTCGCTTATGGCCCAGGCACTAGGCTAGGCATTAGGTTCATTCTATCAGGGAAAAAGGTAAAATATCATCTTATATTAACATGAGTTAGACAGACATGACACGATATATGAGGGAATAGGTAATAACAACATCAGGCACCAAGAGCCCCCCACAGTACATTAGTAAATACTGTCTTTCCAGTAAAGATCTATAAAGTTCAAAATACAAAATAGGAGAAAGAGAGATCATTACTACCAAAGAATATAAAACCAAACATGTTTGCTAAGGAAATTAGTGAGGCAGCAAGAGTGGCTTGAAGAAAAAAGAAGGCAAGAGTGAGGACACGAGATCGGCTTTTAAGTTCTCTCCTCTGATGTCAACCACCTATGTGCCCCTTTCAGCACCCTGAGATCCGCCCTGGGATCTCCAGTGAAAG